ACTGTGTCGAAGGCCTTCCTAAAGTCCAGGAAGATGACATCAGCCTCGGCTCCCGCGTCCAGGCAGCGCGTGACCTGGTCATAGAAGGCTACCAGGTTTGTCAGGCAGGATCTACCTGTGACAAACCCGTGCTGGTTTCCCCTCAGCATTGTTTCGCCTGCTGGGCCTGCACAAATGTGTTCTTTGATTATTTTCTCTAGCATTTTCCCAGGAATAGAGGTAAGACTGACTGGTCTAAAGTTACCCGGCTCATCCCTTCTCCCTTTCTTGAAAATGGGCACCACATTGGCCCTTCTCCAGTCCTCAGGGACCTGGCTGGAGCACCACGAGTGCTCAAGCAGCTGTGCCAGCGGCTCAGCTATGACACTGGCCAATTCTTTCAGCAGCCGTGGATGGAGGTCATCCGGGCCTGCTGACTTGTACCCATCCAGCTCCTCCAGGAGCTCCTTCACTATTTCAGAACTAACCGTAGGCGGACCGGTGCCATGTGGACATCCGTCAGTGATCGCGGTGGGGGAATTGGCTTGGCTGAAGCAAAGAACTCATTGAAGAGCTCTGCTTTTTTCCCCGCATCAACCACCAACTGTCCTGATTTGTCCTGCAGGGGCCCTATGTTGCTCTGAGCTTTCCTTTTGCCCGCTATATACCTGAAGAAAGATTTTTTATTGTCCTTGATTGTTGAACCCAGCCTGAGCTCAAGCCCCGCCTTGGCCTGTCTAACTGATGTGTCACCCTGGCAGAGAGTCACTTCAATTAGGTAAAGCAACACTTGCTGTTTGTCCTAACTAATCTTAGCATTGCTGCTGGTGGCAAATTCTCTGCTAAAATTCATAGCAGGTGGAGTGACAAACACTCTCTGCAACACCTTAGGGTCCAGCTTCTCCAGGTGAAAAGCACAATATGCTGTTTTAAATATCTTATGACACAAACTATTCTGTTCAAAGAAACACGTGAGTTTTGTATTCTTTCAGGCTGGCTGTTTTATAGCAGGAAAACTGACCTGGCGAGTTTAGAATTTAGCTATTAAAGGTCACAATCGTTTCTTTAAAATATTGCTGGGTTTTGATATCAAGGCTTTGAATGGTTTAAAAAAAAATGAATAACTCAAATGACCCAGTGATGAGAAAAATATTGTGTTAATCTGATGAGCTTGTTCAAAACTGCATTAGAAGAAAGGTCAGGCTTCAGTCATCGGACTTTCATGTTTAGTTATGGCAGCAATAGCAAAGAAGATCATTCAGAGTCCTCAAAGAACCAAAGACCACAGCCAAAATACATCCCAAATCCTACATTACAGGACCCTGCAGTCTACTGAGAACTGGAAAAGCTCGAGAAAAGAGAACAGAAGTCTGGGCTGAGAAATTAAGATGAGAATACTAATCGGAGAGCACTGTCATCTGTCCTTCCTTCCTCAGAGCTTCCGATTAGGCTTTGCAACACCGTATAGCATCCACAATCACTTTGTGGCCCACAGAAACTGGCAATGCAACAGTAGTATAACTAGAGGGGCGAGCGAGGCACCAGCCCCAGGTGCTGACTTGGAGGAGGCATCAGAATGCCTCCTCCACCCCCCAGCTCCAAGCCTTCGCTATAACAGGTGCAGCCTTGTGCCCAGTACGGTATGGAGGGGAGGGGGTTGAGTGGAAAGGGCTCCCTTCTCCTGGCATTTTTGCTGCAGGAGGTGCAGCTCCTCATCTAGTCGTGTATCTGGGGGAAAGGACATAGGGGTGAAAAAGAGCACCAGCGTCAGCCCATGGAGAGCCCCTGCCATGGAGGGGCCACAGCCAATGTACAGTGAGCTGCCTCTGGTGCCCTGTTTACTCCCACCCTCTGCCCCGAAATACTACTGGGCAAGGAACTGCCCCTCTCACGGCAAAAATGCTGAGGGGGTGTGGGGGAGGGAAGGGGGAAGGGGGCTATTCCACTCAACGTTTCCCCCATATGCTACTGGACTGCCCAGCTTCTGTAGCTATGCCTGCCATGGCAAATACTCTGGTAGGGGCAGGGAAGGATTTTGGTGCCCCTTGTTGCAGCCTGCGTGCAGAGAGAGCTGGAGCAGGTAGGACTTTAGCACTCTACCCAGGGTGCTGCAGAAGCTCAATATGCCTCTGATGCAGACTTCAACCCATCAGCTAACCATTAACTGGACTGCAATTGCCCATGTCAAAGGGATCATATTAAAGAAACTGCAACGAACTGGATGCTTTGAAGCTTTAGTATCACTGGCAAACATTTAGGGAGAGCTAAAGGAAACCATCTGAACTGCAAACATTTCCCTGCTCCAAGGGAGTCAAGTAAAAAGAAGCGACTCTGCCACCTTCCATTTAAACATCCCTCCATACTAGACAGCACCACAGCTTCCCTTTAGGTAATGAAAAGAAGATTTATGCTCCCCAAAGAAATGTTCAGAGTCATTCCTAGGCAGGCTAGGCTTCCCATACCCAATCTGGAGCAGATTAAACTAGGTCTGTGGCTCACCTGGCCTGAACAAAGTTTGTTCTCCACAACACTGTTCACTGTCCACAACACTGTTCTTGAACACTGTTCAAGAATAGCCTCAAAATGCCCATAGATTCATAGATGTTAGGGTCGGAAGGGACCTCAATAGGTCATCGAGTCCGACCCCCTGCACAGGCAGGAAAGAGTACTGGGTTTAGATGACCCCAGCTAGATGCCTATCTAACCTCCTCTTGAAGACCCCTAGGGTAGGGGAGAGCACCACCTCCCTTG